CGCCGCCGCCTAGTGGCTTTGCTTCATAGGATCTGTATGTAGGTTACTGTGGCTTACCGATGCTCTGTTGCCGTTGCAATGTGCTTTGCAACAGTGTGCAATGGGCTTACTCACCTCCTTTTAGACCGCAGAGGCTGTAGATTGCTTGCTTTGTCGAATTGTCGTTCAGCCTCTTTGTTATATGGGCTTCTAATTCATTCGGTGTCATCTCCTGGCAGGCATCTTTCGTTGGTGCCATGGCGATCGCCGACTTGGTCAAGACCACACTGGGCCCAAAAGGAATGGTATGTGTGTGCTGGTCTCAGAGGAAATGTGCATTTGGACAAAAGATAGCAGCCATTCAGATGCTAGTGTTTGTGTATTTCCCTTACACGATACCTTGTTAATATCCAGGACAAGATCCTTCAGTCGACTGGCCGAGGGCGGAGTGTCACTGTTACAAATGATGGGGCTACCATTTTGAAGTCCCTTCACATCGACAACCCTGCTGCCAAGGTCCTTGTTGGTATCCTTTTTGGTTGAATCTATTGCTTGGTGATGTTCATGCTGAGGTGATGCTTGTTTCTAGATCTGGCAGCATAGGCTTCTTATACCTTTTTCTGACCTCGTTTGATTACTTGGTTGTATGGATGTTCGTTGTCCCTAATTGAAAGAAGATGTAGTCCTTAATGATGATTCTTAGACATCTCTAAAGTTCAAGACGATGAAGTTGGTGATGGAACAACTTCTGTTGTTGTTTTGGCTGGAGAACTTTTGAGGGAGGCTGAGAAGTTGGTTAACATGAAGATTCACCCGATGACTATTATTGCAGGTAATCCTCATTTTAGACACAGTTTATCTAAAATGTTATCCCTAACAGGCTCACATTTAAAAATTGTGCAACATCTTAGTTACTACTCCATCTATTTCTAAATATAAGCCTTTTTAGAGATTCCAATATGGACTACATATAGAGCAAAATGAGTGAGTCTACACTTTAAAATATGTCTATATACATCCGTATATAGTCGGTATTGAAATCTCTAAAAAGGCTTATATTTAGAAACGGAGGGAGTACTTCAATACATGTTACTGAGTCTTGGTGAGTAATAATACAATAGCAACACTTTTTAGAGCAGTCGGACATGTGAAGTCTGAAAAATGAGATATCATGCTTACATACTTGTCTTTTGAATTAGTCATGCTTAAATGATTAAAAAGCAGCCCCCTCAGTCTAGGTAACTTCTGTGTTGATGCCATTTTGAAAGTACAAAATAGTATCTGAAAAACCAAAATGTGAAAGCAGTGCACTTCTGCATTGATGCCATTTTGTCAATGGAGAGCTACGACCATTAGTTTTCTGTTCAATTTCATGTTTGGCTTTTCATTTCTTATGTTGTTTTGTTTGATTATTTATGCAGAAACGATAGACATGACATTTAAAAGAGAAAACAGATACACATTGTAGAACTGTTTGCAAATTTTTAGCTAATCATTTGCTTACATGTGAACATCTCTAATGCTTTGTCATCTCCCTTAACTATTAGGTTACAGAATGGCTGCTGAGTGCGCCAGAAATGCTTTGTTGCAGAAGACCATGGACAACAAAGATAATACAGGTCACCTATTTAGTTACTTTCTCATATATGATTTCGTCACTATATTTGAGCACTGTGTAATCTTCTGTTAGTTATTACTTGCGTGGAACAAGTTTTATGTTTACTTCCTGGAATACTAGCTTATAGGACCTGGTATCATTGGTTGCCCTAGTTGGGACCTGGCAGTAATTTCAGCCAGATGTATACATTTTAGTTATGCTTTATAGTTTATATATCAAGAGTTCACCACCAGGAATATTCTTCTGACAGTAAACCTTCATTGGTGCTGCAGACAAGTTCAGATCAGATCTCATGAACATCGCCATGACTACGCTTAGTTCGAAAATTCTCTCCCAGGACAAGGAGTATTTTGCTGAACTTGCAGTTGATGCTGTCCTCAGGCTTAAGGTAAAAAGGGCTGGGGGAAGTTGGTCATACCATATCTTTTCTATATGTGGGATGTTGTTTGAAGTAGTAGTTCTTTATTATTCATTCACATTGTTACATTATGATGGTAAAATGTTGATTTGATATCATCACACTTGTTCACTGGTGGCAGGGTAGCACCAACTTGGAATCAATCCAAATTCTGAAGAAACCTGGAGGATCTCTTAAGGATTCGTTTTTGGACGAAGGGTATGTTCTTTCACAAACTATATTATGGGAACCTTGTTCTCTTTTATCCCTGATATATTATATATCAGTTCCAAGCAGACTGGTATCCGTTTAACAATCTGAATCTGTTTTGCAGGTTCATCCTTGATAAGAAGATTGGCCTTGGTCAACCAAAGCGAATTGAGAATGCTAATATTTTGGTTGCGAACACTGCTATGGATACAGATAAAGTTAAGATTTATGGGGCACGTGTCCGGGTGGATTCGATGTCTAAGGTTGCAGATATTGAAGCTGCTGAAAAGCAGAAAATGAGAGAGAAAGTTGAGAAAATCATTGGTCACGGGATCAACTGCTTTGTCAACAGGCAGCTAATCTACAACTTCCCCGAAGAACTTTTTGCTGATGCTGGCATCCTCGCAGTTGAGCATGCTGACTTTGAGGGCATCGAGCGGTTAGCTCTTGTCACGGGTGGTGATATTGCATCAACTTTTGACAACCCAGAGTCTGTTAAGCTTGGGCACTGCAAGCTCATTGAAGAGATTATGATTGGGGAGGACAGGCTGATTCATTTCTCCGGGGTTGCGATGGGGCAAGCTTGCACCATTGTCCTGAGAGGAGCAAGGTATGTCTTATTGGTGCAGCTCCTCATCATGCAGTGATAACATTGTATTATTCGGTCACTCTGTTTTATTTGGCCACACATTGAATATGTGACTTTTTGTCTGCAGTGAGCATGTGCTTGATGAGGCTGAGAGGTCCTTGCATGACGCCCTATGTGTGCTTTCTCAGACAGTAAATGACACACGTGTCATATTTGGCGGTGGATGGCCTGAGATGGTGATGTCCAAAGAGGTGGATGAACTTGCAAGGAGGACCCCTGGGAAGAAATCTCATGCGATTGATGCTTTTTCGCGTGCCCTGCAAGCCATCCCAACAATCATAGCTGACAATGCTGGCCTGGATAGTGCCGAGCTGATCTCCCAGCTCCGAGCCGAGCACCACAAAGAGAACAGCACTGTTGGAATCGACGTCATCAGCGGCGGGGTAGGCTCATCGTGACACCGATTTTGTATCTAACCTGTACCTGAGGGAGTTTGGAACTACTAACATGGTCCCCTGTTGTGCAGCTGGGAGACATGCAGAAGCGTGGCATCTGCGAGGCGTTCAAGGTGAAGCAGGCCATCGTCCTGTCGGCGACCGAGGCTGCGGAGATGATCCTGAGGGTCGACGAGATCATAACCTGCGCCCCACGCAGGAGGGAGGACAGGATGTGAGATACCCACAAGCCGTTTTGATGCTGGGCTATCTATGTATGGTTTGCCGAGTTGTGGATGGGTTACCGTGGGTCCACAGCTGCTTTGAAGTCTCCATTTCGATTGCTGTCGAGCCCTGGCCCCTAAGCGACCGGAACTTGTTGTGGGAGTAGATAGCATTCCGTAGGGAGTTGCTTTGGTTTTTTCAAGTTAATTTCCACTAGAGAAATATAGTTATGTGTATGCTGTAACCTTGTTTCAACTTCCATCTTTGCATTCGGAGGCGCTTCTTTCAGAGCATGCATGCACTGATGCAACTGTGAGTTTGCCATCTTGTCTGCTGTACTCAGTTGGACAGCAACCATTGCTAGCAGTGTATTGCTACCACTGTTCTGCAAGGTAAGAGACATGTATGACTGAAACTGGATCCAGTCCTGTTTGCAACTAGGTACAGATTAATTGCAATCTGCTATTGATTATTATTACTCCAGTAAAATAAAATATACTGGGATAAAGTATGTAGTGCTGGCCCCTAAAAAATGACTCCAGTAAAATAAAATATACTGGGATAAAGTATGTAGTGCTGGCCCCTAAAAAATGACTCCAGTAAAATAAAATATACTGGGATAAAGTATGTAGTGCTGGCCCCTAAAGTATGTAGTGCAAGCAACTTAAAGCCCCAGTATTCAGTTGATGGTCTGTTTGAGCAGTGGCATCTTTAGCTGGTGATCATTATCAGATGAGCAGCTGCCTCTACTGAGCCACATCCAGCTAGCTATGAGCCACATCAAGCTCACATAAAACTGTCGCTTGCTAGAACAAACTCAGTGATGTGCCTGGACCCCACATAACCAAAACATGTCCTCTTCACTACTTTCAAGAAGTACTAAAAAAATACTTTCAAGTTCAGAACCAAAGGGGTTACAGAAGTTTTTTCTTTTTGAGCGAAAGGGGTACAGAAAGCTGGACAACTCGATGATGAACATGTCCACAAGGAGCTTGCGTTGAAGGCCTTCCCTCAAGTGCCAAAGAAACTTGTCTACAAGGAATTAATACAGCTGTCTAAGAAACTCATCCACGCCATAACTGGGAAGTCTACGTTGCAAGTTCAGTACATGCACTAGAGCACAACAGCCGGCACACCACACCACACATCAGAGGCATCTGCTGTGATACATAACACGAGATGGGTTTGGTGTGGTTCTAGTCAAGATATGGACTCCTGTCACCACGTGAGATGACGAACATCAAACAGATCATGTGCTAGACCAGCACAAGCTTTTCAACACCAAACATTTGGCCCCGCCGCGATCTAATCCGAACTAATCACACCGCAACACTTGCATTGCATGCGCCCATCACATGGCCCTGTCCTGCGCCGACACAACGATGCCCTTCCCCTCGCCTCGCCTATAAATCCAGCAAACGGCTCAGCTCAACAGCATCACCTGATCGTTAAACATATCCGCCACCAGCTGAGCATTGCAACATCCATAGCAGACAGCAGCACACTTTCCCCAAATCTCCAGCTGAGAACCAACACCCAGCCAGAACCATGGCCGGCGCCAAGAGACTCGCTCAGCTGGCAAAGAGGGTGGAAGCGCTCGGGAGGAAGAGGCTCACCGCGGCGGCCAAGGAAGACCAAGGATGCTGCACCTCCGCACCGGCCAAGGGCCACTGCGTCATGTACACGGCCGACGGGAGGCGCTTCGAGGTCCCGCTGGTGTACCTCGGCACGGGGGTCTTGGGCGAGCTCCTGAGGATGTCCCAGGAGGAGTTTGGCTTCGCAAGTGATGGCAAGATCACGCTGCCCTGTGACGCCGTAGTGATGGAGTATGTCATGTGCTTGCTGAGGAGGAATGCCTCTGCCGAGGTTGAGAAGGCGGTGCTGAGCTCTATGGTGACGCCTTGCCACTACACTGGCCGTGTGATGCCTGTTGTTGTTGGAGCCAGCAGTCAGATTTGCTGTCTGTAGATGCTGAAGAACAGCAGGCTTAGACGCTGATGATGTCTTCTGTCTTGAGTAGTTTGCCTGGATAGTGTACGATAGTTAGATAACACACAATAGGGGAAGGAAAATTGTATGTAAAGCAATGTGATCATCAAAGCAACAACCAGCAGGAACGTGGTCAACCAGCACTTGCGGCCATTCCTCTCTGTTTTAGATGTCAATGGTTTCATACTGCTGCACAGAGAATAAAAAAAAAACAAGTTTCCATGCAATCTATCATCTAAACCAGGACATTAAAATGATCAAGAATTTGTGAATTAGTGAACTGGCCAGGTGGTACAGGAGCCACATTGTAGGATGAACCATCAGGAGAATATTTAGAAGCTATCAATACAAGAAGTAGGATAAAAATTACAAAATGGAAGAGAAAGCAGGCTGTACTCCACAAGTCAGATTTATTTTGGGGGGTAAAAGACACTGATGTTTAGCTGTTACTGAATTGCTGAATGTTCTACCCACAAAACTTTACAGAAGGTGTCGACAAAAGATTTAGCAGATGCCTGTTGTATATTCAGAATCTTCAGACATGCAGCTGGCTGAAGGCCCGAAGGAAAGTGCAGAGAAAGAGCTACGGAATGGCTACAGCCTACAAGTTAGGTAGGCCATCAAGAACTAAGATATGACACTGTTCCACAAGTTGTCTCTGCTGCATCAATTAAGATCGTCCCTTTCGCACCTAATCAAAATGTTAAGAACACGCATTCAAGTACAATCGCAAGTTCCAACTAAGTCAGCTTCTCATCTGATAAAGAAAAACTGTTGACAACTATAGGCCCATGGTTTCCTTCCAATTTCTTCCTCCGTCCCAAAATAAGTGTCTCAACTTTAGACATATTTTTTGACGGAGGGAGTATATATTAATATGAACTATGTTAAAGGATGTGACAAATAATGTATTTTTTTCCAGGAAAATTGTCTCTTTTCTATTATTTCCTGTGACAAACGAATCTTACATCAGACTCTACAGAACTCCTTCTCGGACCTAACCAAAAGAAATATTTCACTAGCTAAACTAGTAGCTAAGCACAGAGAGCAAATTGATGGCCGAGTCCCATCGATGGTGCCACGCAGCTAGCACAGTAGCTGTGGCCATCCTCAGCAATGGAGCTCAAGAACGCCCTCTCGACTTCCTCAGAGGCCTCTCTCCTGACCAGGCACAAGACGTACTCCATCACTGTGGCATCGCAGGGCAGCGTGATCCTGCCTCCATCGCTACCGCTTGCAAAGCCAAACTCCTCTTCAGACATCCTCAGGAGCTCGGCGAAGACCGTAGTCCCGAGGTACACCAGAGGGACCTCAAACCGTGCTCCGTCGGCGGCATACACCATGCAGTGGCCCTCATCGGCAACCACAGACGACGTTGTGCTGCAGCATTCGTCATCGGCCGTGTCTGAGGCATGCTGCTGGCGGCGGGCCCTGGCTCTGGCAACCAACATCCGCTGGCACTTCTTGGCCAGCTGAGCAAGTTTCTTTGGATGGATCATGGTTGAGTCTAATGTGTTCCTGACTGGCTAAATTTCAGTTTGGCTCTGAAACTCTGAAGGCGCGTTGTAGATTGTGATGTGGCATGCATATGAGATGAAGAAGTTTGTGTTGAGCAGGCCATGGATTTATAGTAGGAGGAGAAGGCTCAGGGAAGTGCATATGCGTGTGGGTTGTGTGTAGCTATCAGCGAGAGCGTTGGGCAGGGGACAATGCCATGAGCAGTGTTGTTGCAACTAGCTGCAGGCAGTCTGATGAATGATTTTGGTCAGATTTTCAAGCACTGATCCATGTCTGAAATGCGGTTCGGCTAGAGACCCCCATGGGGTCCTCAGTGCCATTTCCCCAGCAAACCCATCACGACGCTTGTAGGCGAGACGTCCAGCCCAAGCTCCGGCAAGTGCCAAACACTTGGCCCCAGCGGAACCTGATCCAGATCTCATCATGGCACCTCCAAAATGGCAGCAGCACATGTACCATGCGTCCATGCCCACAGCTTTGGCTCCCTGCCCAACCATCACATGAGACCGTGTGGGCGCTCGCTTTACCCTCGACCTATAAATCCATGGCTAAGTGCCCTCACCATCCGCAGATAAAGGCATTCCAAGCTCCCTCTCACAGAAAAAAGAAAGAATTTCTCCCGCTTCCAGAAACACAAATAAGCCGCCGTGATGAGTGCCAAGACACTCGCTTGGCTGGCCAAGAAGTGGCAGAGGGTGGCAGCTAACGGGCGGAAGAGGCTGACCTGGTCAGTCATCAACGTCAGCGGAAGAAACCGGAGGGTCATGCTGCAAATCATGCTCATCGGTGGCCGGCAAGGGCCACTTCATCGTGTACACCACCGACAGGGTGATGTTCGAGGTGCCACTTGCGTTCCTTGGCACGACGGTCTTCGGCGAGCTCTTCAGGATGTCCCAAGAGGAGTTCGGCTTCGCAGGCGTTGACGGTGGCAGAATCACGCTGCCCTGCGACGCATCGGTGATGGAGTACGTGATGTGCTTGCTCAGGAGAAGTGCCTCTGCAGAGATGGAAGCCGCGTTCCTCCACTCCATGGCGATGCCATGCCACTATCATGCGGCGGCACATCTGGGAGTTAGCCAGCATTTTGGTGTCTGCAGCTCCTGAATCCTGATTAGCATCTGCAGAGATATAGGAAAAAAAATGAAAAGGCAATTAGTTTATGTGAAGTATTTTGATCTTTTTTAGAAGATGGACAATAGTAAGAGACAATGTTCTTCCAAAGAAAAGAAATGCCATAGCGGAATTAATGACAAGTCCTTGGATATATTCAAGGGTGTGGCCCGGAACACTCAACTGCTCAGCTAAATGCAAGGAAGATACCAGGAAATGATCGGCACACAATATGCTAGAGACCATGCAGACCATGGGTGGACAATGAGATATGGAACTTCCCAGCAACTTGCCAGATCTGCAGCAATCAAAACACTGTTAAACTAACAAGCACCTAACATGCAGTTGCAGGTTGTAAGTGCAAAGTACACCCAAAAGCAATGAAGTGAGCTCCTCTTCACCTCATCCAATTGCAATCACACAATTGCTACAAAAGCACGAACTTCTAATCTCTTGATACAGGAGGTTGAACTGAATGAAACACCGCCACAAACGCTGGACCCCGGATGGCCCCACAAGGTCTCTGCCCGATTCAGCAGCGAAGACTGTTGTATGCATCTTATCACCCAGCCACTAGTCCACTATCCTTGCCTCCATTAGTGCCATGACCCAACAGAATCAAACGATTACATTGCCTCCTTCAGGAGCCACCGTTGCACGCATCAAGCTCATGGCCTTGTCCCCTGCCCAACGCAAATTAGTCATATGTCTATGCCTATATATTCATGGGCAGATGGGCTAGCTAGTAGTGCACCAACTTCATCAACAAACTCACAGCTTAAACATTTCTGAGCAACATACCTCAGAACCATGCCCAGCAGAATGAAATCTGAATCTCATTGCCTCCCTCCTTTGGGAGCCACCATTTCACGCACCGAGCTCATGGGCTTGTCCCCTGCTGCCCAATGCAAATTAGTCATACGTCTATGCCTGTATATTCATGGGCTTCATCACCAAACTCACAGACTAAGCATTTCTGAGCAACATACCTCAGAACCAAGAACGCACAGCCATGACCACGATCCATCCTAAAAGATTTGCTCAGTTGGTGAGGAAGTGGCAAAGGGTCAGGACAACATCCAGCGACAACGAAGCAGGCTGCACGACACCACAGGTCACAGATAAAGGCCACTGCGCGGTGTACATGGCCAATGCCAGGAGGCTTAAGTTCTCCTTGACTTGCCTCACCAAGACAATCTTCGGCGAGCTGCTAAGCATGCCCCAGGAGGAGTTAGGGTTTACATGCGATGGCAGGATCACATTGCCCTTCGATGCAGCGGTGATGGAGTATGTCATGTGCTTGCTCAGAAGAAATGCATCAGAGGAAGTAGAGAGGCCGTTCCTGAGCTCTATAGTGATGCCTTGCCAACATCCAAGCAGTACGGTGTCACTGCACCAGCAGCTTGCAGTCTGTAGCTCCTGAATATATAGCAAGCTTTTCCCTCAATTTTGAATGTTTTTCCGCGATGTAAAATAGTTCAACACTGCGGAATGGAAATTGCATATTAGTATACCAGCTTATAGCATCCTACAAAGTACCATAAACTACAAGTCTACAACCATATATCATTAGGACATAGGGCGCAAGAAAGCGATTTACTTTAACCTCGGGATTCAGAGTACAAAAGCTAACGCCTAACAAGCAGCACTACCATTAAGAAAATCAAAGATATGATTATATTGCATGCTAAATAAATAAATAAATAATCCAATTTCCTGTTGCACTTATCTTAAAAAAATGTACTGAATCTGTATACAAGAACAACAAATACTACCCTTTTCAGAAGAAAATAGTCCAAGGAAGTTACCGTACAATATGTTCAACAACAGGGTTTATTTGATTTCTGGGTATTGTCTACAAAATAGAAGATCAAAAGCAAATATCAGGTAGATGTGTGATATCCTACTTTCTTCAGAAATTATCAAGTTTCTTCCCAAACTGAACTGATGTGCTGCAAAAAGCAGTTAGGGCATATTCCTTCTGGCCTGTATTTTCACTTGGAGTGTGGCGAGCCGACGAGAGGACACCCAGCTCACGCAGTGGCGTAGCCAGCCCAATAAGCCAGGGTGGTCCATCAATAGAAATATTTACATAAGTTTGTTCATTTTTAAAGAAATATCTTTTTACTACACTATATAAAAGCCATGGGGAAATTCCAGGGTGGTCCATGGACTACCCTGGCCACCCCCTAGCTACGCCGCTGAGCTCACGCAAGTAGCTAGTCTCCGGCACAAGGGAAATGGTACCCAGAAGCGCATGCTTCCTCAGCAGCGGTGGAAGCGTTCATCTTTCAGGCAACAGACTGCAGTTCCTACCTCAAGAATCTATAACCAGCTCAACCCACCTCCATCTGGGACACGTGATTCAAATCCGACCGTTCTAGGTAGAGGTAGGGACAGCAGTATGCTGATCGTTCATCCAATCCTCCCATCCGCATTCCCTTCACTGCGCCATCACCGCGTTCTGCCACCTTCTGGTCAGGCACACCCTCTCCTGCTTCCTTCCCCCGCATATCATACCGACAAACTTCCAGCCCATGGTTTCTTTCTACTGTCTTCAGTACTCTATACGACGAACTGCAGCTAAGGCCAAAGTATGTGTCAAATAGCCAAATTTCTCTCAGTAAAATAGTATCTTTTGTATCATTTCTCATGATAGTAGGATCTTACATCAGACTGTACAGAGATCTTCAGGTTCTAACAAAAAAAATCACAAGATAAGCTAGTAGCTAAGTACAAAGAGCAAATTGATGGCTGAGTCCCATCGATGGCGCCACACAACTAGCACTGTAGTTGTGGCAATGCTCAGCAATAGAGCTCAAGAATGCCCTCTCAACCTCCTCAGAGGTCTCTCTCCTGATAAGGCACAAGACGTACTCCATCACCATGGTGTCACAGGGCAGCGTGATCCTGCCTCCATCGCTGCCGCTTGCGAACCCAAACTCCTCCTCAGACATCCTCAGGAGCTTGGCGAAGACCGTCGTCCCGAGGTACGCCAGAGGGACCTCAAACCGTGCTCCGTCGGTGCTGTACACCATGCAGTGGCCCTCATCGGCAACCACAGATGACGCTGTGCTGCAGCAATCATCATCGACCATGTCTGAGGCATGCTGCCGGTGGCGAGCACCGGTCCCGGCTGCCAACATCCGCTGGCACTTCTTGGCCAGCTGAGCAAGCTTCTTTGGATGGATCATGGTTGAGTCTGATGTGTTCCTAGCCGGCTAAACAAATGCCGCTTGGTTCCGAAAGTCTGAAAGTGTGTTGTAGAGTGTGATGTTGTTTACAGATGAGATGAAGTTTGTGCTGAGCAAGCCATGGATATATAGAAGGAAGAGAGGGATCAGGGCAGTGCATATGTGTGTAGGTTGCGTGTAGCTATCAGCGAGAGAGTTGGATCACATTTGCTATCAGTGAGAGCGTTCGGCTGGGCCTGGGGACAATGCCATGAGTGCTCCATGTGCAGTGTGGTTGCAATTAGCTGCAGACAGCAAATGTGATGGAATGATTTTGATGAGATTTCCAAGCACCACCCATGTCTGAAATGTGCTTCTGGCTAGAGAACCCCATGGGGTCCTCGTGCTCGTGCCATTTTCCTAGCAAACCGATCACCATGGCTGTGCAGGCGGGGCGTCCAGGCCAAGCTCCGCAAGTGCCAAACACTTGGCCCCAACAGAACCTGATCTGGATCACATCATGGCCACCAAACCACAGCACCACATGTACCAATGAACATGGCATTGTCGCCTGCCCAACCATCACACACTTCACCTTGCTTTACCCTTGAGCTATAAAATCCATTGCTAAGTGCCCTCCAAACACCACCTCTTCATCCACAGAAAAAGGCATTCCAACCTTCAATAGCAGAAGAATTTCTCCAGTTTCCGAAACACAAGAAACTACCATGATGAGTACCAAGACACTCGCTCGGCTGGCCAAGAAGTGGCAGAAGGTGGTTGCTATGAGGAGGAAGAGGCTCACCGGGTCGTCATCAAGGTCTGCGGAAGAAACCAAAGGGTCTTGCAGCACATCATGCTTCTCAGTGGCCGGCAAGGGCCACTACATCGTGTACACTGCTGACAGCGTGAGATCTGAGGTGCCACTTGCGTTCCTCGGCACGACAGTCTTCAGCGAACCCTTCAGGATGTCCCCAGAGTAGTTCGGCTTCGCAGGCATTGACAGTGGCAGAAACACGCTGCTGTGTCATACATCGGTGATGGAGTATGCCCTGTGCTTGCTCAGGAGAAGCGCCTCTACAGAAATGGAGGCCGCGTTCCTCTACTCCATGGTGATGCCATGCCACTATCATGCTGCGGCACATCTGGGAGTTGGCCAGCATTTTGGTGTCTGCAGCTCGTGATCACCATCTGCAGAAACATAGGGATATAGGGAAAAAAGAAAATTGTTTATGTGAAGCGTTTTGATCATGCAAGTGAAGAAGCAAACAAGGAAGATGGGCTGTAGTAGGGACGCTGTTGTTTCAATGTGTATATATACATTTTGCAAAGATAAATGATTGATCACTGGTTTTTAGGACCTAAGCACGAAGCATTGCTGAAAAATTCTTCTGCATAGATATATAGCCTCAGACCCCAAAATATTACAAAGGAACATTGACGAGGGCTACAAAATCTTCACAGATAGAGAAGGAAACTGACCATTTGTAGAAAAGTTCTGTGTTTTAATCGACCCAAGATAAAGTTGTCAGGTTACATTTGAATTGGGATTACAGTGGAACATTGACAAGGGCTAGAAAATCTGCTAATGGGCAAGGAAACTGACGGTTTGTAGAAAAGCTGTGTTTTATTCGACCAAAGATAAAACTGTTGAATTGTATTTGAATTGGGACGGGAAAACCTGCTAATGTGCAGAAAAAGATCAGTAATCAGAGAAATTGAATGAGCTCATCCACATTTGTGTTTGGTCAATCTAGGTACCACACAACCACTAGTTATGTCACTGTCATGGACAATGCAACTTCAGGTACTAACAAAATGAGCCCTGCGCTGCAACTTACATTACTGCAGTCCATGAACCAATGCCGCCAGAAAAAAAAATAGTGACATGAACTAATGACAGCTCCATAGAGATGGACCTGATGCCATTCTGGCCCTGATGGTTACCAACTGGTTGGCCCATAGGAAAACGCAATGGTGGCCCATAGGAAAATGCAATGGAGACACCAGGAATGGCTGTCACATGCGATGCTGAAGGTCATGCAGACGATGAGATATGGAGCTGTCAAGGTAACTTGCTAGATTTGCAGCAATCAAAGCACTGCTAAAGCAAACATCAAACACCTATCATGCAGCTGAAGCTGTACTCACCTATTCAGAGATGATTACTGCACCGAAGGGACCCCAGATGGTTTGCTCTACACCTCTGCCCAGTTCAGCAGCAAGAACAGTAGTACGCATCTGGTTGCCTAGCCACTACCTTTGCCCCCTAGTGCCAGGCCCAGCAATATCTGATCTGAATCTCACTGCCTCCCTTGGAGCCACCATTGCAACCACCAAAATCATGGCCTTGTCCCCTGCCAAATGCCAATGAGTTATATCTCAATGCCCAGATATTCGTGGGCTAACTAGTAAGACACCGTCGCTTCAACAACAGTCAACAAACCAAGCATCCCTAAGCAGCAACATACCTGAGACTAGAACCAAAGAACCCAACTATGATGCACCCAAAGAGGCTTGCTGAGCTGGCGAGGAAGTGGCAGAGGGTCAAGACGACCAGTTGACCACTGCCAGAGACGACGAAGCATGATGCGTGACACTGCCTGTCGCAGATAAGGGTCACTGCCAACGGGAGGCGGTTCGAGGTGCCGTTGGCATACCTCAGCACGACGATCGTTGGCAAGCTAATCAGGATGTCTCAGGATGAGTTTGGGTTCAGAAGTAACCATTTCGAGCCAATTAACAGCTACCCTAATTCTTTCACTGTTTCACAATCCATCATCCATGCGGTTCTCTTAATGATACAGGATGAAGTTTTCATGTTAGAAATATCATAAGGTTATTTATTAGTCAGGCATTATATACCAGTTAAAAAAATAAAAGCATGTTAATGGACTCTTCAAAGTGGATACTGTCAAGAGTATGTGAAATACTGTTACGATAAATTTTGAAGTTTAAAACACAGAACTCTAGTGCATTAGTAAGTTCAGTGGACACTTGAGTCTGACTGAATCTAGTAAACAATGTCTGCACAAGAAATCTTCATTGTAACCAAATAAATGGCCATACAGAGGCTTGAATAGCTGATGTTCCACCAAGACATGAAAAAAAGGAGGACAAAACCATTACGCAGACCACATAGTTGCTAGAATTCAAAAGCTATGAGCAGGCAAGGAAGCGGTTAAGAGAGCAAGATAAATCCAGGAAGAATCATCTGTGGACCGCAGACCAGAGGAGATCTGGAACTCAAAACAACGACCAGCTGATGTAGAAGTGATTAAGTAAGTTGATTATGCACCAATTATAAATAAGTGTCACAAAGAATGGTATCAGATTAGTGGACAAGCCCCCAAATCTATTGATCCAGTGAAAAGCTAAGACTTTATTGGTTAAGTAAACAATATTATTATTGGTTCACTTTCCTATATATATCTCATCAACAGGTTGAGGCTGTGTTCACAGGTTAGCTGCAGATGTCAACAACAATCACAAATAAATCTCATAGGGAAAAGCACAGAAGCTCTAGTGTATTAGAAACTACATTGCCACTAGAGTCTGACGGCATCTAAAAAACAATGTTTGCAAAAGAGGCCTCAAGAAGAGCACAAAACTGGGCACATAGTCCACCAAGAATAAGATAACTGAAGAAAGGAACTATGTATTGTAGACCCTAGAGGTGCTGAAAATCAAAGAAGTGAACAGCAGATACGGAAGCAATTAAGAAAGATAGATACCAGACGAATTTATTGACTGACTGTAGATCATATGGAATCTAGAAATCAAAATGATGACCACCTGATACAGAATTGATTAAGAATGTGTCATGAAAAATGCTTTCTGAAGTTCTGATTAATAGAAGAGCTGCCAGATCTGTTGGGACAATAAAAAAATGTGAACATTTGATTAGATGAATAGCCGTTGCTTGTACCCATTAGCCTGTATGTCATCAATGGGTTGAATAGCCTGAAAAACGTATCAACGCTACGCATCAATAGGCTAAACTTATAAATAAGGATGAAGAAGCACCAGTTTGGGACCTTGTACTTGTATGTTTAATGTTTCATCAGTATTAACTGCTAAGTAGAACTTAGTCTTTAAAGTACGCAAACGAGCTGACTTCTCTGCTTAATAAACATCAAATGGTGACTGGTAAACTTACAAAAATAAGCGCTGCACCTTCAGTGAAATCGTTACCCATTTCAGATATAAAACCAAGCAGAAGGAAACTGACTGCCATTATGGAAGAACAATGTTAAAAAGGACATAAAACTGAGAAATAATAAAATGGCAGGACCAAGAAAAGATATAGTGGACCCATGACAGATAAGTACTCAAGCTAAGAAGCAAAGTGGGTCTCAACTCAATGATGCACAGTTAAACATACTGATGGTTACACTCATTAGCCATAGCTTACGTCTCCAGTGCTCCCTTGCTAATTGCTACCCTACTATTATATGAAACTAGTACATGCTGTTGTCTCCACACCGTCCAAAAACTGAAGCGCCAGCACATATAAACATAAGCTCGTCTCATCAGAAGGAATACACCAAGATCACTACAAAGGGGCTGGTTCAACTGGCAAAGAAGTGGGCACAAATTGTCATCACCTCTCTCTTTCTGGCCTTCTTCTGTAGCCATCAATGTCGGCACTTATCCTCAAGATACAATCTCTCGCAGTTGTCAACTGTGCTGCTAGAGACTTTTTCTCATCCTCAATAGAAAGTAGAAATGACTCTATCTCCGCAACTTTTGCCCCATCATCATTAATAAGAGCTTCTTTATATGACCGCAATGCTGTGACAAGAACAGAGGGAGCTTCTTCTGGGCCCGCTGGACCATCATTCGCCACATTCTCTCCGGTAACTTTGTTTTCTAAATCTTCCTGAGACATAAAATGATTTCAGTGTAAGTAAGGATTCAAGTGTTTGATAGACATATTGTGCAAGGTTAAAGACACCAATGATACAAGAAAGATCTTAAGAAACAAGGTGCAGGATGGATTTATTTACACTGTTTCAAATAGCCCGCTATAGCTCCGCTATAGCACGCTATAGCATTTATAAAAGGTCTTGCGCTAAGAGACTTTGGTCCAAATAAATGAACAAACATTTTAAATAGCGCGCTATAGCTCCGCTATAGCATGCTATAGCATTTGAAAGAGGTCCGGCGCTAAGATGCTTAGCGCGCTATTTAAAACTTTGTTTATTTAGCAATGATCGAAGATCAAAGCAACAGAAGTGAAATAAGGACGGACTCACCTTGTTGCCTACCAAAGAAGGAGGCCACGCCATGATGTAAGGATGAGCAGTGTTTGTATACTTATTATCAAAAAGCTTGTTCAGCTTTGCTGTTTCCAGGCAGAGGGAATGGAGGGACTCGGTGTACCCATCATACTTAGTAGACACGTACACAAAGCCCTCAATGACATCCTCGATCTGCACTGTGGTATAATCCTCTGCTGAAATCTTAGTGTCATCCACAAATGTACTCAGCGGAAAAGTACCTTCCTGCATCCATTTCTCAACACCATCATCATCAGCTCTCCAAAGCCAAACAATAAGCGTTTCTGTCTCTATGACAGCCAGGCAGAGCTTTCCATCCTTGCTATGACCCAAACTCACACTTAACAGCGTAGGGTCCATCTCTAAGAATGGCGGCAAATCCACTCTGGAGAATTGCATTGTTGCAGTGTTGAGAACGAGTACATAAGCTTTACTCGCGTGTCTCCAATAAACGAATCCTTTCAGCTGTGTACCAGGGAGAAACGGGGGATCGCTGTCTTCATCGTCCTCAGGTTGAGATGGCTGGGGGGTCTCCACCCACGGCAAGATCTGCCACTCCCTGGTGGCCGGTGAGAAAACAGCTAGACGCGCCGGCACTTGCTCCGGCTTGTTCCGGTGTTGGACACAGATCATACGGGCCTCCTGGTCCTCTTCGGATAAGAAAATGAACTCAGGCAAGGCGTTGACGAGGATCCCGTTGGTGGTCGGAAAGGGGAAGAGATGCAGTGCCTGCGTAAGGGGGTTGTAAGCAGCGACCTGGTATGTAGACAGGTTGACGAGGACGACGCAGCCACCGTAGCAGGTCTCTATGTGCCATCCGGGGGAGGAATCGCTGTCCTCCGGGAGGCGGGTGAGGAGGAAATCGGCGCCGCGGACGGCGGCGGCGAGGTCCGGGTCGGAGCGGCTGCGGAACGGGACGAAGGGATTGCTACGGCAGGAGTCGATGAAGAATCCGAGGAGCTGGGGCTGGTGGAGCGCGCGGAAGCGGCGGCGGAAGGCGGGGGACGAACGGACCGCGTCGAGGAAGGTGCGGCAGGCGAGGGCGGCGCGGACGAGGCTCGGGAGGGAGGGGAGGCGGAGGAAGATCTCGAGGAGGAGGTCGTCTCCGATAGCGGTAATCGTGGTGGGGGACGGTGTCGGGCGTTTCGCCGGCGGCGCTAACCCTAGCTCTGAGGCCATGGCTGTCGAGCTCGAGCTCGAGAGCAATGAGAATTTTCACTCAGAAAGAAAGGGGAAGGGCGCTGATAGGCGCCGGTGCGCCGGCCCGGTCGCACCCTGTCCGTTCGATTATTTCACTCCCAACCGTTTAGATTCTATCCTTCCTTCGTCCCTAACCTTCCGTCCCACACAGTGCGCGCAAGGGAAAAGCTCGCAGCTGTCGCACACTACGTCTCCTCTGTCGGGCTCCTTCGCAAGACGCGGCGGCCGGGTTCGTCAACGGCGCCGGCCCTGGCAGCACCAGTGCTGGTGTCAGCTTTGTCGTCCCTGTCTACTGCCTAGCGTTCGATCTAGCACGCATTAAGGGCCCTGATTAGCGCGGGATTAGGTGCATCGTCTTCCTCCCTTCCCACACATGCTTGGAGAAGAAAAAGAGGACCATCCCCGCGGCGCTCGCCTGCCCCTCGCGCTCGCCCCGTGCTCGGCATATGCAGCGCCACCGCCGAGTGCGTAGATTCGCCGCCGGGTAGATGCAGCTTCGCCCTTGCCCCTCCCGCCCGCTTGCAGCTCCGGCATGTATGGTGGTAGCTCCGTCGCTTGATGGTTGCAACACCTCGTGCCCCAGCTCACCCGTCGCCGTAGTAGCACCGTTATGTTGTTGGCCGTAGCTCGCACCATCGTCAACATGTCGCGCCGGTTGAAGCTTTTTTGCATGTCGGTTGAAGCTTTTTTGCATGCCAGTTGAAGCTTTTTTCGCGCTGGTTGAAAATTTTTCCACGGTTTGAAGCTTTTTTCCAACATCGATTGAAGCTCTTTCCATGGTTGAAGCTTCCTCCTTCGCCGGTTGAAACTTTTTCACATACTGGTTGAAACTTTTTCTGTTATTGAAACTTTTTGTCCACATCCATTGAAGCTTTTTTTCATGGGGTTGAAGCTTTTTAAATGTAGGGTTGAAGCTTTCATGTAAACGATTGCAGCTTTTTTCATTTGGGCAAGAAATCGATAGTTGAAGCTTTTTTCCACCGTCGACATTCGCTGCACGGGTTGCACGAATGATGGCCACCAAACATCACCATTAAGATAGATGTAGCAAAAACTCTCTGGTGGTAGCAAAAAGACAACGACATTTGCAACCAAAAAATCATCGTTGTTGTTGTCCCAGGTGCATCTCTGCCATGAATTAATGTAGCAAATTTCTTCGTCAGTTGTAGCAAAATCTGACGATAGTTGCAGCAGAAATCGTTGTCCCAGTCATCTGCACGAACGCCGGCCACCAATCATCACCATTAAAAAAATGGATGTAGCAAATAAACACGCTGGTCGTAGCAAAAGACAACGGCAGTTGCAGCAACAATCGTCGTCTTTGCAGCAAAAAACGGATGCAACTTCGTCTGGCTGCAGTTGTAGATATTTTTCCCACCTCACAGCTTGAGCGGTTGGTGAAAATAGAGCTGACCGAGTAAACGTGGTGGGCTAAGCCACGTGATGGGCCGAAGAAAAAAAACGTGGATCGGGAGGTGCGGGAGCGCTGGATCGCTACCCGATCGAGCGGCGTGCGCGGGACCGGCCGAAGTTTGGGCCGGTGCACCGTTTGTAAACATTTCCCAAAGGGGAATCGGGTATTTTGGCCAACCTCTCATTGTCTTTTGCTCCCTGCCAACCTGGGCCCACACGCAAACACCAGTATACCCATGTTTGCTTTGCTCTTCTCAATTGAGCCCTTCCCTTGTTCCTCTCCTTCACCGACATCTACATCGCAAGGACGACGACATGTCCTTGAGACAGGCATTGAAGGATTCGAAGCACTAGACATCATCGGATCAGAGTTGGGGAAGCCAAGAGTTGCGAGTGGAGGAGGCCAGGAAAGACGACCATGGTGCTTGCTCCTCGTGGTAGGATAGAGTGTGTTGCTACTTACGGATGGTCACACCGCCACTAAACAAAGCTTAGAGCATCTCCAATCAAACCGGGCTAATTCGGTTCGTCGTTTGTTTCGCTTCAAACCCTTGTTTCCTCGTTTTATCGGTGCACGCAGTCATACCCTCCCATTGTACGGACACATGCATATGGTTGATGGGATGGAGAGAGAGAGAGAGAGGAGAAAGAAAAAAGAAAAAGAAGTTCGGGTTGGGACGTCTTCGACGTGGCGGACTGCTGGGACACCCTAATTTTCTCCTTACACATGAACTGTATTGGGGGGTTTGACAAACGAATTAATGGGAACAATGTAATGGTCTAATTGGATACGGTTTGTCCCTCTTCTCGGCAGACACAGTTCGGGTTGTCTACCCAGACAAATGAGGACAAAGTGCGGGTTTCAATTGAAGATGGTGTTTCCATAATATATGGGTATGTAAAACTAGCACATGTTTGTTCCACACTATCCGAAAACTGAACCACCAATACATGCAAACAAAGGGTGATGTCATTCCAAAGAGGCTCATGTGCAGCTTCTAGCCAGACTAGGAACTCTAGACTGGTTTGCAAGCCAGCCAGAAGTTTCGGACCAATCTAGAAAGATTTAGAACTGAGGTGGATCCATTGCGGGCCATATAGAGCAACAACACAATTGCAAAGTTGAGGACTCTTTCTAACCTTTGGTGCACGAGGTTTGTGGGTGCAAATACTTTGCGCATGTGAAGCCACATCCCAGAACTCATCCAAAGTGCATCTTCACTGGCATCCCTTTTTTTATAATACAACTTTCCTATAAACTCAAAGTAAAAAAGCAAATAAGCGCAAGTCTGCCTTTCCTTTCACCCTTTTGAATGGTGGGCTCTCCCATAACAAGTGCTTTGCTTCTATTGCAGTAAGTCACTTTGTAAGCACTTAAGCATATGGTTAGATCACTAATCACAACATCAAAACCAACATATGAGGGACAGATATGTCTTTTCAAATTGGCATTAGCAAGATATGGACAACCCCCTTATGCATTTGTAATCAACTCTACTTTTGACTTTTCACTCTAGCTATCCAAGTAAAAAATTATCCTCAAAAGAAATGACCGCTTGCGCTGGCAAGCTATGTATCATAAGAGCACCTACAATAATCAGATTTGGCTAATCTGAGCCCCTATACGTCCCCGAACGCGCCCTTGGACACCATCGGGCGGGTCCTCATTTGCCCACATCTACAACCACACTCCTTATATGTTAACACACATATCCATATAAATCCATGCATGTCCATCATATAACGTAATTTTTTTCACCAATTTGACGGTACAAAATAAACAACAATTCAACAATTCATTACATGCCAAAAAAGTCAAAAATTCATACATAGATATGCGATTCACAAAAGAATCAAACGTCTCAATTGTTGCACTTGTTGTTCCTCTTCTTCGTCTTGATCACCCACTTCTTGCTTTCATCATCCAAGAGTCTAGTGTCCTGCAACATGAATCCTCGACTCCTCGTGTTTGCCATAAGCCTCAACTTCTCTCTCTCTCTCGAGCTCATTTCCTTCGAATGTCGCGATCTTTTCAAGATCCCATTTTGCAATCTTCTCTTGCCTCTCCAATTCTATTTTGTCATTCTCCATGTTCAACTGTACCCGGTCAAACTCCATCTTCTCCCTTTGTACACATATGAACATCTTATACCTCTGCTCCTCCTTCACCTCCTTGGCCAAGTGGCGGACATTTTGCTTGCCACACCATCATGCGTAATCACGTCCTTTTCCCATTTGCTTCCCATCACTTGTCAGTTCCTCTTTGGCATGGTGGCTTGGATGTCTGCCCCACCATTTTCTTCTTCATCGTCATCTAATCCAATTAATTGATTGGAGATAGGACCGTCATTTTTCTTCATCTTCTTGGTGCCGCTTTTCATGTCCTCAAGGACTGTTTGCCACTTTGGTTTTCCATTCAATTTCGCTCAATAATGGGACAAATTGAATGGCCTCTTCTCGACTTGATGGTACAAAGCCGCCGTCAAAGTTGCATGGATTTGGATTCCGATGCCGCTTTGATTCCGGCTAACGACTTGTTTGAGAAAACCAACAAACTTGCTCACGTTCACGTTCCCTTGGATGGTGGACTATCTATGTTGGAGAGAGCACGTGTCGCGACTACTAACGATTGGGTGTGGCGTCACATAGTATTTTCGCTCATGATAAAGTTTGCGGTTTTTTTCAACATTTGACGCCCTTTTGCTCGGTTCCACATATCGGATCCATGCTAGTGTTCAACAAACTTTCAACCAACAAAACACTTCAAACCATGTGAATACCAGACCTCTTCGCTTCACTACCTTTTTCAGTGCGTGATGTTTGCCCAACTTCAAACATAGGAGTGCGATATCTCCAATGTCAAATTGCCAAGTCTCTTGACAATTATTTATTATGTTTGGTCCTACAATATGCATCTAATTAAACTTTCATCCTAAAAGTTTTATCAAATAGTATGTAGGGGCAAATATTGGTACCGGGTCATTTCCTCAAACAATATGTGGGCATGTCTGGAGCTGGCATTGCCCAACGTTGCCCGATTCCTTTGTAGTTGCATTGAGTCAGCCATTGTGTCCACGGCTATGGAGTCTTCCGAAAAGCTATCCGGGGTGCCCGGCCATGAGGTCAAAACGGAGTCGAGCTTTGCCGACATCTTGTCTGTCCCTACGACCACGACAAACGGATTGATCGGTGTCGCTAGACCGCTTGCACCAAAGTCCATGTCGCCATCACCGGCCATCTCAGCAGCTACCTTCCCTGCTGCTTCATGCTCGTGCTGCTTCCGGCAGCACTCCCTCTGGGCAACATTCTTCGCCTTGCAACTGACACCACAGTCGGGACCCCCACCGATTCCGGCGAGGCATCATCCAGACGAATGGTGGCATACAAGGTAGTCGGCGATGACATCATCAAAGGCAGACAAGGACGGCGGCGCACAAAGTGAGCAAGGGAGGAGGTGGACGGCTGCAGGAAATGGAGGACGAATGTGGGAGGAGTGCGATTGAAGTGGTGGACTAGTCAATTTTGAGAGGATTTGGGATGAGTCCGGCTTGTGGTACCGACGTGGCAGAAGCGTCCGGGCATCCCTATATCTGCCAAAGATATGGGCGGCTATGAGAGCCGACCAGCCGGGGTGTTTGGGCCGGGTTTGCTAGGTCCGGTTGGGTGGCAGTCTTGTATCTGGACCGTGACCGAGCAAGCCATCCGGACGTTCGTGGCGGATATGGGGGCTCCGATGGTAGATGCTCCAAGTAGTGATTTTACTCTTAAGCATTTTTATCATGCTCATTAAGAAGTAAACCTCTGTCTATGTGTCTTTTGCTTCATCACCATTAATCATACATATTTGCGTATTCGTGATGATAAGACAAGTAGACATAGTTGCAACCATCCCCCTCTTACATTTTAGTTGCATACACCTATATAATTAACTAATAATCGCCCAACCTAATTGTAAAATGTCAAATAGTTTCGTACTATTACCAGGCACAAGACATACTCCATAACCATGGCATCGCATGGCAGCATGATCCTGCCTCCATCGCTGCTGCTGGCGAGACCAAGCTCCTCCTCGGACATCCTGAGAAGCTCGGTGAAGACTGTCGTCCCAACGTACACTAAAGGGACCTCGAACCATTCTCCGTCAGAGGCGTACACTATGCAGTGGCCCTCATCAGCAACCATAGACGATGTTGTGCTGCATCATTCGTCATCGGCCAGGTCTGAGGCATGCTGCCGGCGGTGGGAACCGGCTCAGCAGCCAACATCCACTGGAACTTCCTGGCAGACGAGCAAGCTTCTTTGGATGGATCATGGTTGAGTTGATGTGTTCCTGACTGGCTAAATTTCAGTTTGGCTCTGAAACTCTGAAGGCGTGTTGTAGATTGTGATGTGGCTTACATATGAGACGAAGAAGTTTGTGTTGAGCAGACCATGGATTTATAGTCGAAGGAAGAGAGGTCTCAGGGCAGTGCATATGCGTGTGGGATGTGTGTAGCTATCGCCTACCAGCCCGAGCGTTGGGCAGGAGACAAGGCCATGAGTGCTCTGAATGCAGTGTTGTTGCAACTAGCTGCAGACAGTGTGATGAATGATTTTGGTGAGTTTTTCAAGCATCATCCATGTCTGAAATGTGGTTCGGCTAGAGAGCTCCATGGGGTCCTGGTTCTATTTCACTAGCAAACCGATCACCATGGTTGTGCAGGCCAAGCTCCGGCAAGTGCCAAACACTTTGCCCCAGCAGAACCTGATCCAGATCTCATCATGGCACCTACAAACTGCAGCACCACACGTACCATTGCACATGGCATTATCTCCTGCCCAACCATCACACACTCCACCTTGCTTTACACTTGAGTTATAAATCCATTGCTAAGTGCCCTCCAAACACCACCACTTAATCCACAGACAAAGGCATTCCAACCTACAATAGCAGAAGAATTTCTCCAGTTACCGAAACACAAGAAACTACCATGATGAGTACCAAGACACTCGCTCGGCTGGCCAAGAAGTGATAGAAGGTGACGGATATGAGGAGGAAGAGGCTCACCTGGTCGTCATCAACGTCTGTGGAAGGAACCGAAGGGTCTTGCGGCACATCATGTTTGCTAGTGGCCTGCAAGGGATGCTGCATCATGTACATTGCTGATGGCGCGAGGTTCAAGGTGTTGCTTGCGTTCCTTGGCATGATGGTCTTTGGCGAGCTCCTGAATTTGTCCCAAGAGGAGTTCGACTTCACAGGTGTTGACAGTGGCGGAACCACACTACCCTTCGATGCATCAACGATGGAATACGCCATGTGCTTCCTCAGGAGAAGCGCCTCAGTAGAGATGGAGGCCACGTTCTGTGGCTCCATCACGATGCCATGCCATTATCATGTGGCCACATCTGGGAGTTAGGACATTTCTAACAATCCCTTATATATATAATGGAGGATCCAAAAAGTTAGGCTAGATTGTAAATGACCCAACTGTGGTGCGGGGCTTTAATAGGCTGACAGACACACCGGGCTAAAAATTAGACCAACTCCATAATGGGCCGCTAAAAGGCCGAAAGATGTACAACCTAGAAATTGGCCCATCTCTAGAATGGCCCATTAACAGACTGAAAAACCTCGGGCCGCAAATGAGCCCAAAGACGTAGCAGACTGTTAAAGGGCTGGAACTGACAATGGGTCGCAATGGTGTCAAATCATTAATGGGTCGTTGACGGGCCAAATTGACAGAACTCGTACGTATGGGCTGGTTGTAAATAGGCCAGATGCAAGTAGGCCCTAAATGGGCCGACCCGCTAATTTTGACTGGGCCGACCTTTTTATTTAAACGAGCAACTGTTGGGCCGTGCCACGTGTCCACGTTTCATAGGCGTGTCTTGTCCATTGGATGGATGAAATCTGTGCAACGTAGAACTGACACGTGGATCCGTCGGCAAATGAGAAAATGACACGTGGAAAATCGTCATTGGTCGGGGTTGTTAACGGGTCCAAAACCGACACCTGATAGCTTAACAGCGACCCGTTACGGTGGCTGCCATGTGTCAGTTACCCTTGACGAAATCACTTCCATGACTCGTCATTTATCATCATGGAAGTGGACACTTCCGCGATGATAATTTGAGTATTGTCATGGACCACTTCTACAACAGCATAGGTAAGGTTGTCAGAATCGCGATTCTGTTATACGATTCTACGACTTTACGATCCAAACTAACCCCTACGATTCTACGATTTTAGTTCATAGAATCTACGTTTCTACGATCCTGATAGTGAAGATTCTACGATTTGCGATCCTATCATTAGAGCTCCGATCCGATTCAAAATCACGATTCTGACAACCTTGGTATGACTATCTTGATTCTATAAAATCATCATGGATGTAACATGTGTGGCAGAAAACGTGACCTAGTGTAATAAACACGTATTATCATGGAAGTATTTTTTTGTAGTGCCATCCACTGGTCCACTCCACTAGCTTTGCCCCTAAGTGTCGTATGGCCCAACCATATTTGATCTAAATGTCCATGCCTTTCTTCGGAGCCACCATTGCACACACCAAAATCATGGCCTTGTCCCCTACCAAATGATAAGTTAAATCTCAATGCTTCAACAACAATCATAAAACAAGCACCCCTGAGCAGTAACATAATTGAGATTAGAACTAAGAACCGACCATGATCCTCTCAAAGAAGCTTGCTCAGGTGGCGAGGAAGTGACAGAGGGTCAAGACAATAAAGTGCGCTAAACGACATCGCCTATTGTAGATAAGGGGCACTCCATCATGATGGGAGACAGTTCGATGTGCCATTGGTATATGTCGGCACAATGATCATTGGCAAGCTCCTCAGGATGTATAAGGAGGAGTTTAGGTTCAGAAGTGATGGCAGGATTACGCACTGCCCTTCGATGCAGTCATGGAGTATGTCATGTGATTTCTTACACGAGATGATGGTACAAAACACCGGGGTTACCCGACCTCCGGTGAATAAGGTCACCAAGCCGGCCTCGGAGCCCGGCTAGAGCCTCGGCCCCTTGCCCTACTAGCGGGCCTCCTCTAGAAGGATATACCATTACTTGTATGGTAAGACATGTATTAGTAGAAAACTTGGGCAACAAGCCATGTAACCCTATTGCTCATCTACTAATATAAGGGGTGGTAGGGGGCTCCCAAGAGGCATCCAATCTCTCATACGAGTCAAACACGTCAATAGAATGACATGCATGATGTAGGGTATTACGTCACCACGAGGCCCTAAACCTGGGTAAAATCCGCATCCCGTGTGTACCCTATTCTGATCCTTTATGTGCGCTCCACCCCATGAGTAACCCTATGCAGGGATCTGCCGATTTTCTGCACTGTCACGAGATGTGTCAGATGCAGTAGAAAGGGTGTTCCTGAGCTCTGTGGTGATGCCTTGCCAACATTCGAGTTGTATGGTGCGACCTGTGGCGACAAACCAGCTGCTTGCGGTTTGTGGCTCCTGAAAATATGCAAAGTTTTGCCCTGACTATTCTCCATTTTGCGTGTTCTACCAAGTATACGATTTAAAATAGTTCAATTGAGGAGAATGAAAATGAAACCTTGGTACACCAACTTGTCGCAATAGATTCAGGGGTCGTTTGGATTGTGACTATCATCGCCATATATTGCCACATGATTATTGTCACACTTGCCACACTTGCCTTAGTTGAGTTGCTCAAATTTTTAGCCACACTTTGGCTTGCCTAAAGGAATCTTGCCACACTTTTTGTGCCTATGACATGTGGGATTCACTGCTCATAAAAAAAATGCTTGCCTTAGGTGTGGCTAGAACCAAACACCTACCTAACTTGGCCAAACTTGCCTAAGGTTAGGTGTGATAAAGTAGTGTGGCAAGGTGTGGCTAGAAACCAAACAGCCCCTCACTTGAACCTTAAGCTTCAGAGTACCCCAGCAGCTTCATAGCACAGAATGTTCACATCAAGGAATATACACTAGTAGAAAAGGGGCCAATGGTCCAGGCCGGTCCAGCCCATTAGTCCCGGTTCAATCCAGAACCGGGACCAATGGGGGCATTGGACCCGGTCCGTGAGCCCCGAGGGCCGGCCGGGCCACGTGGGCCATTGGTCCTGGTTCGTCTGGACCTACTGGTCCCGGTTGGTGGGACGAACCGGGACCAATGGCCCTCGCTCCTGGCCCACCACCATTGGTCCCGGTTGGTGGCCTGAACCGGGACCAAAGGACGACCATTAGTCCCGGTCCATTCCACCAACCAGGACTAAAGGGTTGGTCCTCATTGCGGCCAAAGTTTAGTCCCACCTCGCCAACCGAAGGGGAATCAGACCGGTTCATAAGCCCCTCCCTCTCTGCCTTATTGAGCTCCTCTGAAAATGAAAATAGATGCCCTTATATAGGGAATTTAGGCTAAATTCATACGAATTTCTCTTGAAATTTGTTATGAATTTAATTTGAATTTCCTCTATAAGCGCATCTATGCTCATTTGTTAGTAGCTTTTTATATAGTTTTTTTTTCTGATATATTTATTTTTTTTCTTTTTATTTCTGAGTTGTAATAAGTCATTAAAAATAAGCATCTATGCTCATTTTTTAGTAAAGTTAATCATAACTATTTTTTCTTCTATTTATTTTTGAATTGTAATAAGTCATTACAAATAAACATCTATGCTCATATTTTAGTAAAGTTAATCACAACTATTTCTTCTTCTTTTTATTTCTAAGTTGTAATAAGTCATTAAAAATAAGCATCTATGCTCCTTTTTTAGTACAGTTAATCGCAACTATTTTTTCCGTCAATTCATTTCTGAGTAGTTTTCTATATATATATTTTTTCTTTTCTGCTATATTTATTTTTTTCTTTTTATTTCTGAGTTGTAATAAGTCATTAAAAATAAGTATCTATGCTCATTTTTTAGTACAGTTAATCACAACTATTTTTTCTTCTATTTATTTTTGAATTGTAATAAGTCATTAAAAATAAGCATCTATGCTCATATTTTAGTAAAGTTAATCACAACTATTTTTTTTATTTCTGAGTTGTAATAAGTCATTAAAAATAAGCATCTATGCTCCTTTTTTAGTACAGTTAATCACAACTATTTTTTACTTCAATTCATTTCTGAGTAGTTTTCTATATAGTTTTTTTTCTTTTCTGCTATATTAATTTTTTTCTTTTTATTTCTGAGTTGTAAT